AAAGGAGGAGGCTACAATGCTTGATAAGAAATGTACTCATTATCTTGCCCATGTAATTGTAACCCCTCTGTACAGTATTTTCACAATAAAAAAAAAAGAAATTAGCTCCCTTTATATGTTTGAAAAAGTGTGATAGCCATAAACTTGTAATGAAGCTCTGGATGTAAGCAGTAATCTGTTTGGAAGGTTAAATAAAACTTTTTGAATTTGAAGATTGGAAATCATTACATTTTAACCAAAATAAGATAGTGGTGTGTATGCATTATTAAATAACAACAACAAGAGCAAGGTGATGGAGAGTCTTGAGGTGGGTTTCTGCTATATAACATAGGCTGATATCAAACTGTCATTCTTCCTACCTTAGTCTCCTAAGCCTTGTGAAGATTCTGCTTTTCATTTACTTACAAGTTCAATTAATTTTTTGTATGTAAGTTAAGCCTGTCTTGATTTTTTTTCTAAAATAAAATTTGAGAACTATAGAAAGTAAACTTCATTTAAAAAAAACTGTCTTCCCTGGTGATTACTTTCATAATATATAAAGCTGTGGCTTGATGAACAAAGGCATTTACTTCATTGAATAGAAAAACATGTCTTTCTTTACTACCTTTTTTTAGTGAACATGGTACTTTCCATACAGAAAATACTTTCTAAAAATTTATAGTTAGAATGAGTTATGTGCAAAGTAACTTGCCCTTCTAGTTCAAAAAATCAGTGATGGGCTGGGAAGGTGGCTCAGTGGTTGAACGCTTGCCTTGCATGCCTGAGGCCCTGGGTTCAATTCCTCAGCACCACATAAGCAAAAAGAAAAAAAAAAGCTGGAAGTGGCGCTGTGGCTCAAGTGGTAGAGCGCTAGCCTTGAGCTGAAGAGCTGAGGGACAGCGCCCAGGCCCAGAGTTCCAGAGTTCAGGCCCCACGACCAGACCCAAACAAAAAATTAGTGATACCTTTTATTATTGTCATTCTTGTTAACTTATTAATAATAAGGAAATCCTTAACTTGATATTCTTCTGTTATGTAGCCTCCTCAAATGGGAAATGTACCTGTAATGACACAGCCAACCTTAATATACAGCCAGCCTGTCATGAGACCACCAAACCCCTTTGGCCCTGTATCAGGAGCACAGGTATTATATTCTATATGTACCTTGTAATATTCTTGAGTGGGAAGAACTGTATAACACTTAAAAATCCTGTCATGTGGCTTAAGAAATAAATAGGTATTTGTGTTTTTACCCTTTGTGATGGATGTCACTTGCTTTATATTTTTCATATAAAAGTGTTTAAGAATGCTGATTATTTAAATATAAAGGACAAGTAGATTATAAATACCAAAGATGAAAATTTTTATAACTTATAGTTGGTAGATCTAGATGCCCATTTTTCTAAGGTGTAGGACTTATTTTTCTTGGTGAATTTTGAATTCTGTCCATTATGAACTTTTGAAACCCATAACTCAGAATACACCTCTTAGCTGTTGATGTGATTGGTGCTTCAATAGTGATGCCCTTGAGAGGCAGATAAAGCTTTTGACCAATCTTCGAAATGTTTAAAATTTTTATTTTTTATCAAATAACCCTTTGGCACTAAAGATTGTATTAAAAAACAAACCCAGATGGGTGAAGAAACTTTTGAAATCCCTTGCAGTTCATTAATTTTTTTAGTGCAACACTTTCTTCTTCAAATATTTATTGTGCTGCTTCCCCTTTCTGAAAATTTACTTTTAACTATTCAGCCTTTATTATTCATCCCATTATTGTTGGTACCTTTTAGAGAAATCTGAACATTTTTCCCCTAAAAATTGTACTTATTATTCTGAGAGGGGAAGAAAATTATCTTGCTATTTACTTTCTTTGAGGGTGGCATACATGAATAAATCCTTTATGAATTGGTAAGGGTGGCTTATTCTGTGTTGTGTGGTTCTGGTCATGGTGTTTGTTTAACAGTAGAAATAATTCATCATATGCAATATTTAAGTCCTCTATTCGTTTGTTTTTTTTCATGCGGGTCCTGGGGCTTCAACTCAGGGCCTGGTCACTGTTGCTGAGCTTTTGTGCTCAAGGCGCTAGCACTTGAGCCACAGGTCATTTCCAGCTTTTTGTTGGTTCATTGTAGCTAAGAATCTCCTGACTTTCCTGCCTGGGCTGGCTTTGAACTTGATCTTAGATCTCAGCCTCCTGAGTAGACTTGTAGGTGTGAGCTACCAATGCTTGGCCATGCTTTCTCATTTCTTTAAATGATTTCCATTCCAATGGAATGACATATTACTTCTCGCTTATTTGAAAATAAATACTGGTAGTAGACTTGAATGAATATACCTGGTACATTTGCCAAAACATACGTCTTGTGTTGCTAAAATTAGCTTAACACTGATCCACTTTGAAATTCTCCTTTGTATTTCATACAGTGGTGAAGTATGAGATGATATTTTATATTTAGCTGCTTTTTTTTTTTGTCTGTCCTGGGGCTTGAACTCAGGGACTAGGCACTGTCTCTGAGCTTCTTTGAGCCATAGTACCACTTCCAGCTTTTTCTATTTATGTGGTACTGAGGAATTGAACCCAAGGTTCCATGCATATAAGGCAAGCACTCTACCAACTGAGCAAGCTTCCCAGCCCCTATTTAACCTTTTTGAGTGTTGAAATCATTTGATAAATCATTATCTGTTAACTGGAAGTGGGTGGTATACAGAGTTCTGATAAAATTCTGTTGGCTATAATGGATTTATATCTTTACCTCTTGTAGGGTTGTTTTCTGTTTGTGGGGTGGAGGTTGAGGAGTGGTTTGCAATGCTGGGATTAAACCTAGGCTTAATGTATCCTAAACAAGCATTCTATATCTCCAATTCCTGCCTCCACCCGCCCTCCCCCCTTGTCCATATTCTGGTGATTTTTTTTTCTGTCCTATTTCTTAATCAGTTAATGTTTTACAGTGAAGATAGCTTTGGGCCAGAGTAATTGATATATGCAGTTACTACCTTTAGAAGTCATTTTATGCATTTATGACATGTATTATGACTATATTATGTATTTTACTAGGTAGTTTTAACTGTTGGCTTAACTTTTTAAAGAAACATTCAAGATTTTGATAACTTTTTAAAAAGTATATTAATAATTTTCTTACCTTTTTTTTACATTTTTTTTAAATTTAATTTTGTTTTATTTGTGAACATACTGTACAGAGGGGTTACAATTGCATGGGCAGGATAATGCGTACATTTCTTACCAAGCATTGCATCCTCCTCCTTTGTTTACCCTTCACATCCCTTCCCAGACTCCCCCTCCCCCATTTTCTTACCTTTTATGGATACATTTCCTTAGGTTATACTATTACTTAAGGGTTTTTTCCTTCCTTTGTAGGTCATAATTTTAACCTCAAATATATTAGCATTTATTTAAAATAAGTAATTTAGTTTTCTTAGTCATGTAAAGATCTAAGTAATAAGAACCTAAGTATATTTTAAGAGAGAGAGAGAGAGAGAGAGAGAGAGTGTGTGTGTGTGTGTGTGTGTATTTGAAAGGCTGTAGCTCAAGTTTATTAGGAACCTAGTCTACTGAAATTTTTCCTTGATGTGCACATCACAGTGCACATCTTGTCTTGTGGGCTAATGTTAGAGTAAATCAAGCTTGGATAGTGGCTTTTACCACTTCTTAAAATAATATATTTAAGATAGGTGATTTCCCTGTCTCATGACCTCATATTTCATTGATGAAGGAGAGAGAGACTTGGAAAGGTTTTCAGTTTTGGAAAGGTTTTCAGTTTTGTATGTGGTCTAATACAACTTATCCCCAGGTGTCCTTGAACCACTGTTCATTTTTACCATACTTCCACCTCAGAAGTAACCCTAATTTCTCTGTCAGCAGTTACTCACCCTGACAAAAAAATCCCTTGGATTTTCTTGTTTGTTTAGATTATAAATCACATTTTTACATTTGGGCTACTGTAGTTGTCAAGAATACCCTCTGCAATTTTGGACAATACTTTCAAGCTAAAACATTGGATATACATTGGATATACATTAGGGGGAGAAAGAGTAAAAATTTTAAAATTTTCTAGTCCTCTACTATCTCCTCTTAACCTAGGTTTTATATCTTGTTACACACTAAAACCCCATAACCTTTTCATTGAACACCAAAAAAGTGCCGCATTTTTTGTTTATAACTACTTTATGTCAGAAGAGAAGTGAGTGAGAGATTATTAGGGTAATAGATTTCTAGTTAAAAAGTAAGTACTTGACTGATAAAATCACCTGAAGGAAACAAATCAGGAACTCAAAAAAGAGAAAACTGAACAGTTGTGAAGTTGCTCAAGGAAACTATTATCTCCTCCTAGGTCATTTGAAAGTCAGAATCTTTTTCCCTGAGACAGGTTCTCATTTTATATCCTAAGGTGATGGTGAATTTTCTATCTTCTGCTTCAGCCTCCCAAGTGCTGGGACTACATGCCTGCACCACCATGTCCAGATTAACATTGTTGTTGCTGTTATTCTGGTAGTATCAGGGTTTTGAACTGTGGGCCTCATGGCTTGCTAGGCAGGCACTGTATTCCTTGAACCATACCCCCCAACCCTTTGTGTTTTTGTTATTTTTAAAGTAAGGTCTCCATTTTTTCCCCTGGACCATCATGGATCATAATCCTCCTGATCTCAGCCTCTCAAGAAGCTAGAATCTCAGACATGAGCCACTTCACCCAGCCCCAGCTTAATGTGACTCTTTATTTCTCCAATTTGTTTTCCATTTGTCCAATCTCAAAAGTGCCACTAATTGTTCTTTACTATTAACCATCTACTCTTGTATTCTATAGCCTTTGCCAGCTTAGAGTTTACATTGTTTTCCGGTTTTTTTGTCTGATGTAATCCATTATGGTGATACTAGGTAGTACTTTAGTATCTTATTTTCATACTCAAAAGTCTAAACAGATGAATCTAAATATTTTTGAGCATTTAAGGGATCCTTTTGGCTTTCTTTTTCTTTACTTCTTGAAGACTCCCTTTTTGTACAAGTACTAATGAGTAAACATAATATTTAACTTAATTCCCATGCACTTATAACTTTCAGTAAGTATATAGTGTCGAGTTCTGTTACTGCTTGTCCTTTCCAAAAAAATCTTTAGTCCCTCATAGTGTGGATATTTATCCCATTTTTTGGGTCATCTCTTTCTTTTGAGTCCTTATGAAATCTGCAGTTTCATTATTATTTTTCATATGGACCTTAATGACTACTTAACATCCATCTCTCCATTCATCTACCTAGTCTAACAAGATTCCATTTACTGGGTAGTATGCCATAAACTGCACTTTTACCTCAGTATTTCCCATTCCTATTCCTAGGATAGTGCCTGACATATAATTGTTTGGAGCTATTACCTATCAAATGAATCTTGATAAAACCTTTTTTATTATGTATCTACATATGCCTCTTTAGTCTCTCATTTCATGTGATTATTACATTGGTAGTTTATGGTAATGTTCAAAACTAATTTGATTTTTTTTGGGGGGGGGTCCAGTCATGGGGCCTGAACTCTGGGCCTGGGCGCTGTCCCTCAGCTCTTCAGCTCAAGGCTAGCACTCTACCACTTGAGCCACAGTGCCACTTCTGGCTTTTTTCTTTTTGCTTATGTGGTGCTGAGGAATCGAACCCAGGGCCTCATGCATGCAAGGCAAGCACTCTACCACTGAGCCACCTTCCCAGCCCTAAAATTATTTTTTATATTATTAAAATATGGTCTGAAGTATAAGCCAAAAAAATCAAATTAGTTGGACCTACTTAGGAGGCTGAGATCTGATGATTGTGGTTCAAGGCCAGCCTGGCCAGGAAAGTCCATGAGCCACTCTTCTCCAATAAACCACCAGAAAACTGGAATGCTGTGGCTCCAGTGGTAGAGCACTCACCTTGAGCTGAAGAGCTCAAGGATAGGGCCCAGGCTCAGAGTTCAAGGCCCATGACTGACCAAAATAAACAAGTAAAAATAAATAAATAAATAAATTTGATAATATAAATATGAAACTACTCATCTTTGAAATAGGTGAGATTTCTCTCTTGCTTGTTTAATGGTTCTCAGCCATTCCTTTGTATTGTATTCCTTTGTTCTCCTTTTTTTCAAATGAGGATACAAAGGTCTTTGACTT